CAACTGCCTCAGTGGCTGAGGTTGCTTTCCTACAGGATGCACCAACTTCCCTGCAGGAAGCATTAACCTGTCTGCTGCCTTGTGGGTCTGAGTAAATTAATGACTGTAAAAAAATACACTGGGGAGAATAATTTCAGCAGCCATGGATGGGTAGCTGCATGCTCCAGAATTGGTTTTTACAAGAAGAGCATCTCCTTTCACTGGAGCATGAGTGGAAACGTCAGCGGTTAACTGATCTTCACAGGATAGCTCAGGAACGAAGGAGAGCACTAAAAAGTGACTTGTAATGGAAAATCACTCTGGCCATAATAGTCAGCAAAATCTCAGGATCTCCAGCGGTACCTAATGCAGCTTTTTGGTGTTAGGGCAAACTATGCAGCCAGTAATAGCTAGCAGTAGTTTCTCTTGCATTATTTTTGTAACACTCACTCTAGCTCTGCTGTGTAAATGGGTGCAGCTCCAGCTTGGGGTGCAAAGTTAAGAAATGTTCAGAGGAATTATGTGTTGTATACTTTTTCATTTGGTTTCATCTTTGGCCCCAAATGGTCTCTTCTGTAACGCATTACTTGACGGAAACGAATTTGCTTTAATGTGCCAAAAGACTAAAAATCTTTGTGACAATTTAATTTAAAAGGATAGGGAGGGAAGTCACACACACAAATCTCCACCATTTAACGGATGTTACCATACATTGGAAAAACACTTTGTCACAGCTTTCTTCCATCAGCAGATGACACAGCAGGTAGCTCAGTGCAGCCAGGAGCAGTCTGTGTGTTAGCAGGCAGGGGTCATTGCAGCCGTAGCAGGAACACACTGAGTTTCCAAAAAGCTGAGTTTGTGTGAGTCCCCAGCTGGCTCGTTGCTCTGTTCTTTTGATGGCTGATCTGTCTTACAGGAAGGGCTCAACTTGGAGTAAAATTGGATTCTGATTTAAAATATTTATAAAATTGTCCGTTTTGCTCAGATTGCATCTTCATCTAAACCTGTATGGGTAATTACTGCTTATAATGCCAAGTTTGGTAAAATAAAAATATTTTTACTACAAAGTTTCCTAAAAGTAACCTTTCCTTCAGTGAAACTTATTTTTTTAAGAACTGATTTCACAGCAACTCTTGGGAGAAAAAAATTCAATAGATTAAATGCCATTCTTTCTATACACCCATTTTCTTCTCTCTGAATCTGATCCTGGGATTTTGAATGTTATGTTTCTTATCCTGGAAAACAGCAAAGCTGCTCAGAACTCCTGACAGTGCTTCCTGTGAGGTCAGCAGCATCCAACTCTTACCGTTCTGTGAGAGCTGGACTTGGCTTCCAGTGACAAACTCCTTCTGCCTGTCTCCTATAGCTGGCACAGGAGAATGCATGGAGGAGAAAGGCATCTGAACTGCTTCTGCTGACAGATTTCAGTTGTAGCCCTGGTGGTCACCAGCAGACCTTAGTAAGTGTCAAAGTTATGGAAAGTGATGCTCTCGCTGTAATCTGTCCATTTGGCACTGGTAGGAGCAGAAGCAATGCCAGTGTTCCAGTGCTCAGTCAGTTGACTGCTGAATCCCTTTTGATTGGATGTCCCAGCGTGGTAGAAGACTTTGCACCACCGACACAAAGATTAAGAGCAACTTGGAGAAAAAAATGTTGTCTGTAGACACGCAGAAGAAATTAGGGATGTTCACCTGCTTGCACTACTGTTGCTGTCTTCTGCGATGTTTTCATTCTGGCTGCCACTGCTGTTCCAGTTGGTGACTGTGGTAGGTTTGACTTCTTTCATGTTTTGCTGAATGGGTGACTGGGTTGGCTCTGACTCTGGGATGAGGCAGCTCAGTCATTCTGATTGAGGAATTGTTTGGGGAAATACTAGGCAGGTTTAAGCACTTTTGCTCAACACAAGAATGTTTCAGGCCTTTCAGATGTGCAAAGCCTGCTGCACCCTGGGCTGCTGTTGTCAAAACCCATGTTCGTAATGAAGTGCCCAGAAGCACAATAGGCTTTTTTGTTTCTGCACAAAATGGACAGACTTTCATTACACTGAATTAGCAGAGCAGATCCAGAAAAAGGAAATGATAGTTACATTATGAAAGCTTAGTGGCATTTCCCTCAGAAATGTATCTTTTCACAATATTTCATAAAACTGTGTATGGAGCAGAGGAAAATACCTGCAGTAGAAAAACATTTTATAAATGCAGAAATGTCAGAAAAGCGAGTGGTCAGAAAAGCGAGTCTGGTCATATCTTCTTTAAACAGTGGCTGGTGTTTCAAACAAATATATATATATTTGTTTATATAATGTTTATATATGTAATCATCCTATGAAGTAATCTGTACTTTGAAAGCATTTTGTGCACTGTGAGTTTGGGGGTGAGAGGGTCTATGTTATGTCATGCATAACATAGGGAGGGGTGAGGAAAGAACTGGGAGCTTAATGTACAGAACAAGGCATGCTTGTAGCTGAGCCATGAAAGAAACAGCTCAGAGGTGCTGCAGTGATGTAAAAATACGTTGCACTCTCAGGCTTAACAAGACCTGGTCTGATTGCCTGAGTAATGCTGCTGGTGGAACGGAACTTTAATTTGAATGCCCAATTTTTCTGTTTTGTCTGGAGTTCTATTTGAAGCACACGATAAGCCTGCAAGGAAACTGCTGGAGATGAATAGGAGAGATTGGAAATGTGGAGGGAGAGAAAACGAAGGCTTTTCATTCTCTAACGAGGGGTTTGTCCTCTGTCAGCGACCAGCCCTTCTATTTCACTTAGACCCAGCTCTCTGCACGCAGGTACAGACTCTCTCCCATCTTTTTGGCACTCGTGTCTATTAACGTCATGCCAGAAAGAGTGTAGGAACACTGAAAAAAGCAGAGCAAGATTACTGATGAGAGACTTAAGTGCCTGCACTAGGAGACAGTGCTTTAAAGCTTTTTGGGAATAACGGGCAAGGAACACGCGATGTTAGCAGAGCTGCTGAAATTCAGTCTGCCAATCAAACAGTGAGAAAAGCAAGCGCACCTCTGGGCAGATTGAGATTAATTCCGTGTGAGTGTTATTCACACTGACATCCACAAATGAACACAGAAAAAAATACAGTATTTTTAAACTGACTGATGAAGGCAGCGCAGTTAGCTGGATTGTCCTGCATAGCAACACATGAAGAAATTGCCTGAATTACCCTAATAATGTTGGAACGGAGGAGGCTAGAATTGTCCTGCAAAAGCCTAGTTAAAATTTGTTGTCAATTAAGGTTTGCCCAGATCTGCCTAAATACGATCCAGGATCCACAGTCAGAAAAGACTTTAAGAAAAAAATACAAGGCTTAAGTAGAACATCCATACCAAACCAGATGGCACTTTTAGAAATGTCTGTATTTCCTGGAAGTGCAGCTGCTATTGCTGTGCAATCCACTGAAGCTGCATTGAAGCTGTGCGTCTAAAACATCAGAGTTCTTTACTGGGTATTCTAATCAAATCAACAGGTTCATTTAATTAAAAAGTGCCCTTATATCTCATTTTTAGGCAGGCTATGCCTGTTCATAATAAAGCATGCAAGAATCTTTGCAAGCTCTGCCTAAGAAACTATAAGTGGTGTTTGATGTGAGAGACAAAATCTCTCTGAGGCTCTGAAGAGTCTGTATGTGTACTTATGGATCCAATTTTTTCACATATCCGCTCTTTCCTTACCCTGCCTGACTACCAAAGAGGTGTCCTTTGTTTCCAAGCCAACGTCATTTTTATAATAAAGAGCTCTGGAATAGTTTTGATTCTGTTTTAGCAGAATTCAGCTTTCGCTGAAGAGCTGTAATCTAAAACCTCTTTATGTGAGAGGAATTACAGATGTAGCATTTGCAAACACGGACATAATGTTGTCCTGACATTTTAGGCAACTTCTGACCTCACTGGTCAAGGTGCCCGTATGTAAATGTGATTGGTGTGGTTAGGTTTAATCAATTAAATGTTAACTTTGAACTCCTTAAAGGATTCAGCGATGCAGGAGGCAATCATTGTTAGTTATCTTCACGTTTTTACCATCATCATGAAGCTAAAGCCCTCTGTCTTAAGGAAGGAAGGTGGAAAGAAATGGCACCTTTCTATTGCACCTATTTCCAAGTGCAGAGATGGTCTGTGCTGCTAGGCTCCAACCTGTCAGTGTGTTGGTGGTGATGCTGTTTATTTCTACTTAAAATTCCCAGCAACACAGCCACATTACATCAGTAGCCCTGGGCTTACTTTGCCACGTTGGCTGCACTGCTGGCTGTGTCGTGGGGTGCTCAGGGAAATGGCTGTTTCTGAGGAAAAGACACAGGATAAGTGTGTGTGTTCTGCTTGTGAGGGGAAAACAATCAGAGAGGATAGGTATACAAAAAAGGAAGCTCATAAACAAGCTCTTGTATGAACAAAGTGTCATGCTGAATGTGGTGCAAAGAAGCAAATTCATCTTTTACCAGGCACCCAGAAGGATTTGAAAATGTTCTGAAATATTCTGAAAACATTCTGATTCTGACAAATGAATCTAAAGAAAAAGAACATCAATGTGTGCAGTTAGAAATTTCAAGTAACCTTTTGAGCACGATGTTCTTCACAGAGCATTAATGCTTCTTTCAGTTATTGATTTCTTTTCTTAAATTCCTGTACCATGATATTTTTTCAGAGGGATGGATCCCAATGACAAGGTAGATAAGTGACTGACTTAAACGTTAATTTAACAGTATGCTTACACGTTTCCAGGAATTAAACTCTTGTGTGGGAATCTTCAACATTCCTGCCTTTCTTTTATAACAGCTGTGAACCTTCCGTAAACCCCCCCCGCCCCCCCAGCACAAACGTGCTGTTCTGGCAGAAACTGGCTGAACCTGACATCAAGCAGAGGGTTATGCCAGCAGCAATCCCTCTTAAGGACCACATGCAGTGACTGTACAGTGCAGTTCTCACAGCCCCCTCTGAAAGCAGCTCTGGGAGCATGAGCATGAGCGTGGCCCAGGGTTGGGGAAAAGAAGGAAAATAACACAGAAATTACTTACATAAGAGCTGTCGGTGTGAGTCGGTGATGTTTGCATTCTCGTGCCTGAAGGGGTTGATCAAAGGGTAGCATTTGCTCCTAACTGATGTAGATGGGGAAAAATAAATAGGAAAAACGTTAAGCTAAAGATTATTATCATACATAAGCAATAATATAACAAATACATAATGATATATGTTGCCACGATTTAGGGATACAAAGTGAGCATTGTGTGGTGGCGCATATGCTGTTTCCATCATCGGCAATCACTGGAATGGCTTTAACCCCGCTGTACTTCCTCCCCTTAATTTCCCCTGAGCCAAATGAAAACAGATCTCTTCCTTTCTAAATGTTTAACGCTTATTCAATTGGTCTGAATTAAAAGTTAATGCCGAACTACTTTGCGAGAACAGAAAATCCGCTCTGCTCGTGCCCCCTTGCCCAGCAGCAGGAGTCGGGCGTCGGGCGTCCTCCGTGGGTGGAGGGAGAGCCCGGGTGGGGCGGGCGGCCCCCGGCTACGGACAGCAGAGAGGACGGCATCGGCACGGCGCGGTCCGGGACCCCCCCGACGCCCCCCGCCGCCCCACTCACGCCGGCAGGTCCGCCAGAGCCCCGAGTGCGAGCTGAGCGCGGCCGTGCCGTTGGCGGCCGTCTCCAGGCGGGAGGCATCGATGATGTACCAGAAGTCCGTCGCGATGGCCACCACGAGGAAGACGAAGCTGGAGGCTCCCACCAGGGCCACGAGCAGCGACAGGACGCTCAGGCTCACCCTCATGCTGCCCGTCGGACCGCGGGAGGAGACGCACGCTGACGGGAAGGGCGGTGCGGGAGAAGGCGATGCCCGTGCCCGCTCGGTGCCGCGCGGTGCCGCTTGGTGCCGGCACGGCGGGTCCCGCTGACGGCGGCACGCAGGCAGCAGCGCGGCTCCCGGGCGGTCCGCACGGGCGCTCCATAGGGAGCCTTGTTCTGCTGCTTGCTTGCTCAGAACTTGTCCCAGACTCCCCAGGGGAACGTTAAGTAACGCCCAGTCGTTAAACGGTCCTTCTCTGTTCTTTTCTGGCATGGGCACGGGGCACGACGTGTGACTCACTCGTGGCATCAAGCTCTCAGGTGTGCTTTCAGCAGCAGGATAAGCTCAAAGGAAAATATTCCTGGAAAGAGCGTGTTTATTTACACACACCCATCAGCATCACTCCTGCCTGTGTTTTGCTGTGCAACTCCAAACAAGGATGTGCATTGCTGGCGTTTATAATAGTCTTTCCATTCTGGAATACACAGTTAAGCGACTGCATCTTTATTCTGAGCTTTTATTATCTCTTGCCTCCCCCAGGTGTATTTGTAATACATGAAAGTGCTGGTGTCATTCTACAAACTAAGCAGCTGTTGTTATCAGATGACTGAAGCCATACAAGCCTCACGGAACAAGGTGAAATGTTTCATTAGATTCATTGATCCAGTAATAAGACATAAACGAGCTTTGGGGCACGAATCTTAATTGGGACTCCAAACTTGTCTGTTTTGCAAAATTATTTGGCCCCACAAGCGTCTTGCATTGAGCAGATGGTTCATCAGCTCACTTCTCAGGTCTGAGCCAACCACACATCTCAACCAGCCTGCATCGCCCTCCTCCAGTTAAAGTCAAGGGAAAGCAAAGGGTGTCACAGAATGAAACAGCAGCACTTAAGCTGTGTAGGTCCAAGTGGCCCCAGAATAATGCTACCACACAGGGTGCACGTCTGTGACATGCATCCTGGACAGTTGTTTTCCCTAAGCTTGGTGCCACAGAGCTCTAGACGTGCTTATTCTTAGGAACATTACTAAATAATTTGTTTTAGTCGTCAGAATATGTGGAGGTCCTTGCAGAATCTGTCTGGCTTAAATTTACAGAAAAGCTAGACCTGCTAGCTCCTGATCCTTTTATGCCCTGTGATGATAGAAAAACTAATGTCAAGAATGTATCAGCTCAAGATTTAATTTCCACATCAGCATAATCTGCAGGCATTCATTCTCATGCTGAGAAGAAAAACAAAATGAACTTCTACAAAGTCGGAAAACAAAAGAATCCCAGTTCATCAAAACATCTTTGTATTCATGAAAAGGGTCCATAATGAAAGGAAGAAGCCAGTGGCACAGGCTGGCTTCACCAGAGATTTAATTACGAATCTACTGAGATCTCTAAAAATAACACAAATTTGGAAGTCACACTGGGGTTTTCAGTGTAGGAAGCGCTTAGATTTTAATATAGAATTATCTTCGTGGAGAAGGAGCAGTACCCTTTGTGTACAACCTGCTACTCAGATATCACAGACAATTAATAGCCCACAGGGTGCAGCGTAGCAAAATGCAGCATTCTGACCTCAAAGAGCCTAATTTTATATTAAAAATCTCAGAAGAGACTGACCACCCCCAGAGGTGGGCCGGGGAATGGGAAAGAAGTTGAGGGCAGAAATGAGCAGAATGGATGGATGGAATTTTCTCTTACTTTCTGGAGCATTAATCAGTGTTAAAGTCTTTACTAAGACTTTACGACAGCATTTGGTATAGAGCATGCGAGCATCAAGTGCCTTTCTGCAGTTCTTTCCTGTAATCTAGCTTAAAGATCCCAATTTAAAAGACAATGATTTGTGATTGCTACTGAATGCATCAGGGTGCTTCTGTGTTTTATGGATTTGGTATGCTTGAGCATAAGAGAGGGCTTTTCACTCACCTTAAGTTTGCTCTTTTCCTCCTGCTTAAAGAGAATTTGGGTGTGTTTTAAGAACCACCTGACATGTGACATACAGACCTCTCTCAGAAAATATTCTATGTAAATCTGCCTGTGTTGGATGGGAGAAGCCCTGATGGGATGGTGCCAAAGGCATGCAAATTCTTGTACTGAACGATCCCATGGAGAATAATGCTATAATCAGAGAGTGAATGTTTCTGATAAACAACCACAAAATAGTTAATGAAAAAGAAATCACTGGGTTTAGCTCTGCACTGCTGTCATTGCCTTGTAATTTGGTTTTCTTGCTGGATGAGGCAAGCTTCCCCTGGGAAGAAGTAGATATTCAAGAAATATGGAAACACAGAAGCTGACAGCTGCACTTGCCCTTTTAAATTATTGTTCATTGACTCCTCATGAACTTTTCAACCTCAAGCAGTGATGTAGGGATTTTCAACCTGCTGACCAGCACCGAGGTGTCATGTGCTTGGATAGCAAAACAAAGTTCTCCACTGATTTTTCATCTATATAACAGTCCTTTTATTCATTCCAAGTTCAAAGCACTTTGCATACCAGCGGATGCTAATCATAGTTGTCATTACTGCAGAAATACACAGGGTGCGATCATAGCATTACAGTCAGATTTCACCTTTGCTTACTGGTACATGCTCTCACTTTTCATTCTGATTTAATGTATCTGTAATAAGAAGAGTAGAATAGCCTGGGCATCCAAGGCCACTGTGGTAAGCCATTAGGGTAGGAACAAGTAGTTCTAATTTTGTTCCCTGCTGCATGCAAAGAATACTAAGTTGCTTTGGAAAAGCAATTTAAACAAAGGCACTTGGTGCTGCCTGGACATGCAATTACTAAAAACCTTAATGCTTTTTTCTCTTATGAAGAAAGTGTAATCACTATCAGCCAGTTCACAAATGGATTGGGAGGATAAACATTTGTCAGTGTTATAAGATATTAATTCAGTATGGTAATGTGTGGTACTAGATATAAAATTATTAAAAGAATATATGTATTTGTGCCCATAGCACCACTTACTCTGCACTCACCAAGAGCAAAAATTTGGATGCACACACATAAATGTCACTGTGAAAAACAAGATATTAAGCTGCTTTTTATTGTTATACTTAGTTCCTTGGTGATCTCCTGTGGCCTTTCTGATAGCTGCTCTTTTAATCTGAAGCCGAGAAAGATCTTTTTCCTTTGTCTATTTCATTATAATGTGACCCAAAGCTATTGTTTTAAACTACCGTTTTTATTACTGTTACAAAATATATTGCTTTAGTGAGATTTTGGGGATAGGGAATGGGTCAGTAAAATAATAGACCAGCTGCCATAGGCTCTTCAGCTTTCATGATACCTGTTCTAAAGCATCAGATCAGAACGTACCTTGAATTGAATATAATCAGCAACCAGACTTCTGAGTATCTTTCAACAAAATCCAGTTATTTTCAGTGTCTGTGCTGATTGCAAGGCTAGAACTATGAATGGGGAAATCAATCACATCACTTCTTCAGTGTGCAGTGTACTGTGGAAAAGCTGCATGTCTGTTGGACCGCAATTATACACAACCTGTGAGTTCACTGTGTCGTCTGTACCGTCACCTGAGATCTCTTTATGAGACTGAATCCCCTTTGCACCTCCCTCCAGGTATTTATGGACAAGGATGAGATCCGCCTGAGCCTTCTCCAGGCTCAACAGCCTGAGCTCTCTCCATCTCGTCACAGGAGAGGTGCTCCATCCCCCTCAAACCTTCACGGCCCTGTAGTGGACCCTCGCCTTCTTATGATGGTCTCTCTCTGTGGGACCCAGCGCTGGACACAGCACTCTGTACCACCTCACCAGTGCCGAGCAGTGGGGAAGGACCACTGCTCTCCATCTGCTGGCTCCCTAACAACAAAGTGCTCATGAACAGTATATGAACTGACAAGTTGCTTTTTCTGAACCTGCAGAACTTGTAGTTTTCTATTTTTCTGTCCATTGCTGGCTTTTCTGACAGCCATAGTTGCAGTACAGGAAAATGACGGTGTGTCACTTCAGCTGTTCTTACCCAGCAAACAAGCAAAATTCTTCAATTTTGAGCCATGGTATTGCAAGAACCTGTTCAACCAGGAGTACATATTTTTTTAAAATCTTGCTTTTACATTCATAATGAGACGATATCATTTTGCTTCTTGACTTGATGTGATTCAGTTGCACTTAGCTTTAAATATTTTTCACACGCAGTACGTTAAGTTGAAAAAGCTGCTGGAAGATGGCTGCTCTTGGTGAAAGCATAAACGTGCCTGATTTCTTCTGTGATGCCTCGAGGCTGAGCACCAACTCCAACGGCTGTCCTTCCACGTGTCACGCCAAACGAGATGGAATTCATTTGAGTATTTGCTCTAATTTGAATGGTTTTTTGGTGTCAGGGTATTCTTGTTTTATCCCGTGTTTTATGTAGCTCTCATAGGCACACGGCACAGTTTGGAGAGCGTTATTTGCTTACTGCAGTTGCAGGCGGCAGCAGGCAGGCGGCCATAGAGGCCGTTCGTTCTGACTGACCCAATGGCGGCGAAGAGGGCGGGGCGGGCGCGTCAGCCGCGCGCCGGAAAGAGCCGGGGGCTCCAAGATGGCGGCGCCGTGTGCGTGAGGGCGGGCGGTGTTGCTCCGGTGTGTGTGAGCCGGAGTAACGTTGTCCTCACGGCTGCGCTGCCCTCGTGTTTTACACGCCTTTTTTAGAATGTCCGGGGAAATAAATGTCGGTTTTTTGTGTCTGTTTCTAGGGGAAATGTTTGCGCCTTAGAACAGAACCGGCGGAGCCGCGGGCACGGGGCAGCGAGGAGGGTTGCTGTTTGTGTCTGTGGAGAAAAATAGAGAACTGAGAGACACGCGGGATACGTTCACCGATTGCCCTTCTGGTGGGGGCACGTGAGAGGAGCCAGGTTTTTCCAGGAAGAGCCAGTACTCGTACAAAATGTACGGAGCCACGCCGTGTGAGGGAGCCTTCACTGCGCGGCTCTGCGGGTTCTTTGGTTTATCACGGCAAGACTGGTTGCTTTTAACACAACAAGCAGTGTGCCTTTCTGGAGCGTGTGGTGTTTGTAGTGAACTGTAGCTGTTGGAGCATTGCAAAAGCAACACTGCAGCCCTGTAATTTAGCTGTTGATGTAAGCTGTTTCCTCACACCGCAGGGCAGTGTTACTGAGCTGAAAGCTGTCTGTGTTTGCTTGTAGGTTGGAGACCCCCATGCACAGCCCCGTATCTCATCAGGGCGCAGTGGAGACTGCGTGACTGCAGCTTGCCCGAGGCCTTGGAAGCTGTGCCATGAGGTTGTGCTGAGCAGAGCAGTTCCATGGCAGCTGTGCTTCACAGTGAGCTGCCTGGCGACAGCGGCTGTCCCCATAGGTGTCCCTCTCACTGACGTACCATGGGAGATGTCACGGAGAAGGAGATGGATAACCTCACGTTCAAAAGTGACACCGTCCTTTCTGACGTGCACTTGCACTGTCCCAACAAAAGTCATCTCATGGTACGATTGAATGCGGTTGGGCAGCCAGGTAATGCATGTTTAGACTGATGGAACTGTGTATTAATTACAGTCTATTGTATTGTCTTAGTCCTCCTTTGATTGGTTAATAGTAATCATTATGTATTTTACTCTGAGCAGAAGCAGAATTGCTCCTGCTCAGAGGGAAGAGGGCTAACTGGATTCTCCTCATGAAAATAGCTACATAAAGCTATTAATATGGATTTGTAGATAGCCCATCTTAGAACAGAAAAAAACAGCTTAAGTTACTTTCTGAGAAGGAGTAACATCAGAATTTGTGCAAGCTTAATTTTATGTTTTTATTCCTTTACCTAGAATCTCAAGACAGCACCTTTGAGGATCACGTTAAGGAGTTAGTTTGTGTCTTGCATATAGACTACAAGTGAGACACCAGCAGCTTTAAATACTGCCACTTGAATTAAGTGCATAAGTAATTCATTTGTTTTTTATAAAATCATTAAATGATGATTTACCATCTGTTCCAGAGGAACCCAGCAGCTTTGTTTTCTGTTCTGTTGTTGTATTTTTTTAAATTTAAAAAATGGGCTACAACAAATCTGAATATAGCAATGAGCTTGACTGATTTATATAAATGAAAGAATCAAGCCCTTAGTGGAAATGAATTGGCAAATGACTGCCTTTACCAGCTTGTAGGTTTCTATAAGATTGTCAAGGGAAATGTCCTTGAAGCTGTAGGTAAAATGTGCTTGTAACACTATAATGCAGCGGAAAGCACAGCAATGATAACAGGGTATCAAAGTCACAGGCTGCAGCAAGTGAGGATATGCCCAAATGCATCAGCTGTGGGTACAGAAACAAAGGGGAAAAAAATCTACGTACCCTTGGAAGGCCTCAGTTAGGCAGGAATTTCCAGTGAGATACCCTTGCCTCTACCCTCAAATGAGGTCTGGGAATGGGTGGATCCTGGCTCGTGCCCTTCCATCCTCTCTGGTACATTGCATGCACCTCAGCTCCCCTGGGTCGGCCCTGCCTTCCCACTAGGTGTTCAGTCACTGTGGTGTCTTAGTGTTTGTTTGATGTGACTCTCCTTGGCACAAAGAACCTTCCAACACAGTAACATGACAGTCTGATTTATGTACTCTGAGTGTCTGTAGTCTTAAGAAATAAATGAATTTCCCATATCAGGGCTGGATTGTAGTATGACAGCTTCTACTCTAAAAAATCCAGCAATAATCTGCCACCACCACTTCGCTGTTTTTAGAGGACCTCCTGGGGATTTCGTCCTTGCTTATTTGGATCAATTTTCCATTTTGAAATTCTGAGGATCAGAGTGAACTTAGAGAGCAGGGTCCCTTCCAACTTGGGATATTCTATGATTCTGTGATATGTTGATTGCATCCTCTAATTCATCAAATCCATTGAATGTGGTTATCATGCAAACAGTAGCTGACGTCCTAAATTTCTTGTGCTTGGATAGACAGTGAAGATTGTTGTAAGATCTAGCTGTTATGATCTCTAGAGAAGGACTTCTCATGTTCCCATAGTACCCTGTATGTCCAACTTCGGATATCTCTGAAACAACTGAAATAGAACTCCATAAATTGTGAAACTGTTGAAATCAATAGTGGGCAAACAGTTTAAACAGTTTCCCCTTGGTAGGAATGAACTCATTTCCAAGAAATTCTTCTTAGATACTGCTGGTGTAGGCTGTTTTCAATAGACATTTTCTTGGCAAAAAAAAAAAAAAAAGCGTCAGTAAGTCCAACCTAAGCTGACAGGAGGCACACTGCTTATTGTGCTGCCTCTTGCAGCTTTAAGCTGATGGCAAGGTGAGAAGTTACTTGAGTCTCAAAAGGGTTTGAAAGTAGAAAAAGAAATTCCTTTTACTTTTTTTTTTGAAACGTGTTTGTGTCCGTTAAGATAGAGTTCATTTCCTCATGTTGATATAATCCCTGATTTGTGATATTCGTTCTTCTCTAAACTTAATCTACCTCAACAGAAGATCTGTTAGAGGATGTCAGAAACCATTTATTTTCCTGATTGCTGAAACAAGTTTTCTAAGTAAGGTGAAAATGTAAACTGTGACAGAGTAGATGCTTATTCAACCAGCAGTTGGTAGTGCTTCATTTATCCCTTCTGACAGAATTAGCAGAAATATTTCTTTCTAGCAAGTATAGCTGTATTCTGAGATACCTGTAATGCTTTCACTGCTCTAGATTTTTTGGTATATGAAATGCATATCAAATGTCATGCGAGTGGAGGTTGCGTATGGATTCCATTTTTCCCTAGCGTTGATCTTAATGGGAACTGCTGAGTCACAGCCTGAACCTCTGATTGATCTCTGAGGGGAGCACTGAGTCAGCCACAGGAGCACAGGTGAAGGCAGTTCAGCTGTGCTCCTAGACCTGTTGGAGAGCTGGCTACCAGTGGGGAAGGATCTTTTCTAGAGATCTGCTCTGCTGGAGTTTTTTAAGTGAGCCCAGGATACGGGTAAAGTTTCTGTCTAGTCTCTTTTTGTTACCATAATCTGCTTTGCCAAACTCTTGTTTATTTTGTAATTATAACATCTTAATATTCATGGATTATACAGTCTTTAACTTTATCCTCCTCCCACTCCATGTTCTTGCAGTGTTCCTGTCATATTTCAAATTCCTTTGGAACACAGATGATCGGGCCTCTGAGAAGTGTGCAAGAGAAACTACAACTGAAAGAGAACACCAGTACGGAGGTGGAGATGGACTAACTAACAGGGACGGGAATAATCTGAAATATGAAAAGGAATTGAACAGTGAAGGAATAGAAGCTCTGCTAGATGAGGACGGAGACTTGGAAGTGGTCAGAAGGCCTCAAAGAGCCAGTGACTCAGAGACAGAGGATCTTATGAGGGATAGAGTATATCCTGTAATTCTGATGAGAGGAAAAGAAAATGCATTTGAAGAAGAAGAACAAGAATGCACTTGCAGCAGTGTTGTTAAAATAGGTAAATAGTAGGCTTATGTTCAAGGAGAAATTGAATAATTATCTGCTGAAGTAAAACAAAGAAAAACTAAGTTGGTCTTTTAAATGAAAGAGAACTTGGTAAGTCGAAGTAGATAATAAGCCATAGTAATACTGTGATATTGTTAAGTGCTTTAAAAACAGCGCTTCTCCAAAAGTGTTTCGGACAGTTGTGTATCATGGAGAAATGGCTTTCCTTAATTAGAGTGGGGTTTTCATCATTATCCAGCATTACTGTGTAGAATTACTAGTGCTTAGTTCTAGACTTAAAAGGGAAGCGTTAATTGACTTCTCAAATTTGCTATTATGCAACTTGATTTGAACAGTGTTTTGAAACAATATTCTCTTTCCATTTTCACAGAGCATACTATGGCAACCCCCTTAGAAGATGTTGGTAAACAAGTATGTATACTGCTTTGTATTGTCTTGCTGTTTGTGGATTGTGCTTCAGAATTTCTCTGGTTTAACTTCTACTCCTCTCCAAAGGTCTGGCGTGCAGCCTTTCTTCTTGCTGATTACATTCTGTTTAAACGGGATATGTTCAGGAGTTGCACAGTGCTGGAGCTTGGAGGTGGCACAGGAATTGCAAGCATCACCATGGGAATGATTGCTAGCAGAGTTTATTGCACAGGTAAGGCAGTTATTTTTAATGAAATATCGCAAACCAGTACTTTCATTCTGGGATTTTATCATCACCTGCTCTTTTTTTAGTTGCTAATTTGTTATCAATGCATATAAAATGCATTGGTGTACGTGGTGAACCTGGTGTAGGGAACCTGCTTTGGCAGGGGGGTTGGACTCGATGATCTCTGGAGGTCCCTTCCAACCCCTACAATTTTGTGATTCTGTGAATATGTTGTTGTTTGTTGAAAAATGGCAAGCACTTTCATGACAGATTGAAAAAGCAGCAATAATTCCAGGTGCAAGTGTTTTAAAAACCAAATACTTTTTTAGATTAAAATAGATAGTATGGTGATCTAACTCCTTTTATCATGACATGTGCTTTGTAATGGAGCTTAGTAATGAAAGAAAAAAGCAAGGGTGCTGTGGAAGCAGTCATGAGGGAAGGGAGCTGCTCTGAATTTTAGTTTGAGAGAAGTTGAGACCAATAGTCTGAGAGGTCAGAGGAATGTACAGCACATGTGAAATGTTCTCATTTTGAATACTGTCATTATTTTCTTCCAGATGTTGGTGAAGATCTTTTGGCCATGTGTGAAAAAAATGTTGCATTAAACAAGCACCTGATGGAACCAGGAGGTAAGTGCTGTGCAGACAGTACTCGTGCAGTTGCTTGTCTGTGAATTATAAGAAGTCATTGGCAAGCTGGCTGGCATTTTTACGGGTAAACTCAACTTCTGTTTTGGTTAGAACTGTCTCATTTAGAAAGATGCAAGAAATCTGTACGTGTTTCAAAATGGGATAGCTGCTTTTGGAAAGGAGCAAAATATTCAATCTTTCTCTGTTAAGAAGTTAAGCCCAGCTGTGGCTTCTACATTGTTATGTTCATTTCACTGAGGTAATTGTGAGGATCATGGACGTTTAGGCGCCAAGGGTCGTGTAAACAGTGTAAATTGCAGAGGCTGAACTTTGCAACTTGCAAGTGACATGTAGAAAAGAAATTAAGATATTTCTGATGATTAAGTTTGTCTTATTCTCCTTTTGTCAGTGGATGACTGGTTTTGTAAATTATGTCCAGTCTTATTTGTTTCATATATCCTTTTAGTATATCTTATCACATGTTTCAGTACTGACTGAAAGATCATTTGTCACTGTTGGGATCTTTCTACACCCACAGGAGGAGAAATTAAAGTGAAAGAACTGGACTGGCTGAAAGATGAATTCTGCACTGGTAGGTAGCTGTTGCAGTAGTAGGGTTTATGAATCCTGTTTTGCTTTTTAGGCTTTTTATCTGTTAAATATGATGTAATATGATGTAATGGTTCAAAAAGTTGAACAACTATTTAAGGAAGTAAAATCATCCTTACGCTTTTGAAGCTTTTCTTGGGCCTCAGGTGTTTATTCAAAATACTTGACACTGCCAGATGAACAGGCTTGTTGGTTTTCAGATACTCACAGAAAGCTTCTAGATTTTAGAAAGCGTAACAGGAGGAAGCTTAATCAAAAAATGCATTTGTTTTTAACTGAATCTGTACTCTTGCTGCAGGATAGTAACTGGTAGTAAATTCTTATGTCAAGGGAAGCTTAGTCACATCAATCAGCCCTGAGCAAGAGAGGAAGAGCAAAAGCAAAGGACCGAAGGGAACTTCAGAGAGCAAACAGGGGGAGGCTGTGATTTCCCTTCAGTGAGTTGCTCTGCTTATTGAGTTGCTGATCACTAAATTTAAATTATTAAAGTAATTTTTTTAATCTATCAAACAGTTAAAGGTATAGTTTAAAAATAAGCTTTCTTCTTTTGTTACAGATCCAGAAGCTCTCTATAGCTGGTCTGAAGAAGAGATTGCAGATTTGCATGACCACTGCACTGTGATAATGGCAGCTGATGGTAGGAAAACATAACCAGCAAGCTTTTAAATCAAAAATGCTCGCTTGAGCATTTTGAGGAACAACTTAACTACACCTAGTTTGCTTTTGAAATGTGATAGATCAAATCCTTAGCTTAGTTTGTCAAATCTCTGCCTCAAGTGTTCTTGTCTGTATTCTATTTACTGTCTGAATTAGCAATAGAAGAATAAGATACTGAAAAATCTAATAGCCTTTTCTTATTATTTGTAATTGAGTAAATTATTTAAAGTTGCTCATAAGTGATAAAGTTGATTTTCAGAACTGTTAAGTGTTGTTGTCCTACCCTTATCTTGAATCAGATAACCTTGGTGCAAATAAAGACAGATAGGTGGCCGCGCTAGTATGCTCCATAGTGTGGGAAGACTTTGAGGTACTGCATGTGTCCTATGGCATCTCTCTGGCTTTTTTTTTTTTTCCCTGTTCTTAATGAAGTGGGGGGAAAAAAAAGGAAAGAAATATGGTATGTGATTTTTTAGCTTTGCAGTAAGGTATTTCCAGCTGAGAGAGATCTTGTTAAAGTTCTGTAAGTTGCCTGGCAGAAGTGATTCCCACTGTCGCTGGGTTGGTCATTGCCATTAAATGTGTAATACATGTATACATAATAAACGTGGGGGTTTAGATAAAGTAATGATTTGTTTGGTTATAATAATATAGTTAAAGCTTCTTGTTGTTTCAAGCCTGAGATTTAGTAAATGCTTACATGTAAATGCCATGTGCTCTTCATGTTCTTCCCATAGTGTTCTATGACGATGATCTGACAGATGCCTTCTTCAGAACGCTGTATAGAATCACACATAACTTGAAACATTCTTGCACAGTTTTCCTAGCCATAGAAAAGAGGCAAGTATTACCAACATCCTAACATAAGGACTAGAATCTTACATTCTTTCCTTTCCTTGAGCGAAAGCCCTGATGTGCCTGAAGGCTGGATTCTGATTATTCTGATTCTGGGTTGATCGAAGGCTGCTGTGAATGCCCAGTGCAAGCATTTGTTAAACTTCTGTAATTTTTGTAAGTTCACAATTTGACCACCAGAAAAGTGTGGCTTTTGTGATCTTACTTTTGTCATGCATTAGGTAACCTTTGTGCAAATAAAGATTAATAGGTGGCCAGCGTAATGTATTCTGTAATGTCTGACAAAATTTGCTGTGATTTTGAGGTCCTATGCTTATGGAGCAGAGTGAAAGGGCTCAGAATGAGAAAATACACACATTTCCTAGCTCGCATCCCCCCCAGTTGTAATTGCTCTTGTGATTTCTTTCAAGGAATTGTGTGCTTTTGAGTAGCTGTATGTTGAAGTCTGTTCATAAACTAGTATGTAAGTTGATTATGCTTCAAGGTATGTATGCAATAGCTATTCGTGTGATTTGGTCCAAAGTGTTTGTCCCAGAAGCAAAGGCAGTTATTTTGTTGGACCAGAATGTATTAAAATCAATGGAAAGGCTCATCCAAGACTTACTGGGTTTTTGGCAGGACAAGACTTTGGATAGGACAAGCTTTCTGGGGCAGCAAGGGGTTATTTTTTTTTTTTTAATTGTGGAAAGGAATTACTCTGAGAAGACCTAAGTTTCTCATTAGCTGAAGAAAGTTACATAGCTGTTTAAGATGCAGGTTTTAAAGGTTTTAATTTAAATATTGTCTTGCCAGGCTGAATTTCACTTTAAGACAGATGGATGTTACGTGTGAAGCCTACAGTCATTTTCGAAGTACTCTAAATGATTTGGAGAACCTTCATGATGGAAAAATGAAATACAGTGTGGAACCCATTAAGCCTGATTTTTGCCAGTTTCTTACTTATGAAAGGATTGAGCAGTTGGTAAGTGGCATTCATTGAAATAAATGGCATATGTTGGGCTGGCAATCTGAAATTAGTTTTCAGCTGTGTACTGAACATGAAGTAAGAACAGAAGAACAAATGTTATGCTCTTATTTATTTCCATTTAGTTTTCCTTGTATTAAAATGATTCTTGTCAGTGCTTACACAGCCCCCACTAAATAGGCATAATGTGTCCTTTTCTATCACAGAACAATTCAGTGGCTTAAATTGTTTCTTAACCTCTGAGGAAATGAGAACAATCTCCGGGACTTTGTAAAATAACAATTTTTGTGATTGACTGGAAAATGGACCGGTATCTTCTTCATTTCTTTGAATGTAAAAAAGCTTTCGTTTTATTATTGCCATAATTCCCAATCAGGGTTGAGGTAATAATGTTCTTATACATACATACGGAGAAGCTGACAAGTAGTAAACTTCTGGTGTTTAGAGATGTATCAGATACATTATTTAAATTACATTCCAAGCACTCATGGTTTCCTCTCTGTTCTTTTTTCCAATTGTCTACTCTTCTGAATATTACGCAGGCCAACTAGTAGCTTGTTAGCTTCTGTAGCAATACAAAGTAAGAGACCTTTGGGGAGAACTTGCAAGTCTTGTACTAGCTTCTGAATCTGCAGTCATGGAGCCAACGTACTGTTTTGTGTGGTACAGTGTGTATGCATAGTATGGCTATGGGTTTCACAGCAATTTCATGAGATTAATTTGCTTTTCTTAGTGCTGACACCTTCAGGCATAAGATTTTCCATCAATGTTTTATAATAAGTCCACGCATGTATATGATGAGTTATATCTACAGGTGTGAACGTGTTTTCTACATACCTTTTGTGGAAGGCTGCTGGCCTTTGAAATAGATACATTTTTTTTAAATGCAGAAGTCTTCTTGTTGATCATGGAGTACACTGCCAGAATTCCAGATGTTGTGGAGATAGGGATATGATAATCTGATTGCTAATCTTTAAAATAGCAGAAGAACCTTACCCTAAATTACTCTACAAAGACTAAGTGTCTGTTTTTCATCCTTACTCTGCAGTGTTGAGAAGCGTGTGTATAAGGTATGCATTTGTGAGACCTGGAGTCCTCAATAAATGGGCTATTTTTAAGCTACTTCTTTGCTAGCAATATTGGAAGTGTTTTTCAACATAGACTAAGAAAAAGAGCAAGATTCTCAGTCAAAATCCTGCAGGTTTTGTAGACCAGTGAAATTATTTTTAGAAATTATTTGAATTATACTATTATTTTTATTTTAAAAAATTATACTGCAGGAATAAAGAACTCAATTCTCTTGTTCTATCTCAGAGATGATGTGTTGGTTGTTGTGGGAGATTACGTAAATGGATTTTCTGTGAATTAGAGAGTGTGTGCAAGTTGAGCTTTATTGTAGTAACAATCTACTGATCTGAGAAAATAACTATATGAATTTTTCCCCTCCTGTAGGAATTGTGGAAGATCATGGCTGATCGGCTAACGTGACAGGGACATGAGAAAATAGAAGATCTTAATCTAACGATAATATTTTCGGTAGTGTTTTATTGAAAAATTTCCTGTTGGATGTGAGTTCTCAGAAACTAATTCCCTGCAGATTTGCCTTACCTCAGCAAGTCTTGTTTTTTTGGCTCTTAGGATGTGGTTTCTTTGCTTCTGTTACGAAACTGGTTAACGTTGATCTTCAGAGGACGTGCTGGCTGAGAAGCTGTGGCAGTGACGCAGAGCTGCACATTCTCTGGGACTGATGACTTAGGCTTTAGTTTCTAACACAGAGGTATTTTGCCTTCATCTGTGTGGCCAATTTGCAGATGTCACACGTGTTACTTTCTAGTTTTCTGAACTTGGATACACTTCTCAGTCTCAGCAGAGTTGCATGTTATTTGTATTATGGACAGCTGTGAAACAGTCTATGGGCAAGCCCTGTTTGTCATTCACGGACTTCCATTTTAAGCAATCTGTGTATGAAACCTAGCTCTTTATTTTGGGTTGGTCTTATCTGAATCATTCTATCTTAGGGCACCTGTCTCAATGGAAAGGAGGCAAAGTGCATTTAGTTGAAGCCTCCTTAAATGTTCCACAGAAATCTTAGAGCTGGGTTGTCCTAGTGGCATTCTAAGCTATTCAGTGCTTGCCAGGCTGAGGATGGGAAGGGGAAGTGATGTATTCCTCCCTCTTAAAACGTTGGAGTTCTCAATGTGTACGTGTGAGGCTGGGAAGACGGTGACCCAGAGTGTCTTGCCTCTGCAAATGGGGCTTTCAGCCCCTTAGCTTTTGTATTAAAGTATAACAGATTTATCAGTTCTCCTCTGTGTTATTAATGAAACCAAAAATCATCCTGTTTATACTCATTACAAATTCTGTGTGTACTATAGTGTTTATGTTTATTTCACTTGCCATATGTGCACTGTCACTTACATTCTTGTGCCTGCTGGATTCTTTAGCATTGTGAGAATGTCATGATAAAACTGTTCCAGCCTGTGACACGTGGGAGTGTGTGTGTCACATAGAAGAATTTGGTTGTCTTTGTGAAAGTCTGTTTTACATTTGCTTTAGTTTGGTCCTTTTAGGTCAATTATTTCTTAATGCATGAGCATTAAGGTATATTTTGCATCAAGATATATTTTTCTCTATTTTTCATGTTGCTTAATGAGATGAAAGGTCTTTAGAGAACGATGATGGCATTTTCCTGCGAGTAAAACCAAAGTAAAAATTACATTATGTTGGTATGTATCTGCCTAGATGAACATAGAACATTTCTCTCACAATTCTCATTTAAACATCAAAGATAAACAAACAAAATCCCTGTATCTTAATCCAGGGATTCCCAACTAGAGTTCTTATTCCTGGTTCGTGCACTGATTTTGACAACACACCACCTCTTCTGTCCTGAGAGACCCCCGTTCATGATGGAACACTCTAAATGTGCTTTGTGGACATCCTGTGTCTGTTTTTATGGACCTTTCACAGGGGTGGCCCACAGACTAAGTGAAAGATATCTGTGTATGCATTGAAGGGTGCTGATTAATCTGTTGGTTACGGTGGGACCTGAGCACTACTGAAGTGGTGTGGAATAAGGGATGGATATCATACTGTTTTTGGCTGAGATAGAGTTTATTTTCTTCACAGTGGCTTGGACTGTGCTGTGTTTTGAATCTGTGATGAAAATGATGTTGTAACACACCAGTGTTTCAGTTGTTGCTGAGCACTGGTCGTACGTCAAGGTCTCTGTTTCTGGTGATGCCCTTGCAGGATGTGGGTGAGGCACAGCCAGGACAGTGAGCCCCAGCTGCCCAGCAGCAGATTCCATACCTCCTGATGTCCTGATCAGGAATAGAAGCTGGAGGACAGATGGGATGGCGGTGTCCTGGAGTTGTGGTGTTTGTCTTCCCAAGTAGCCACTGCTTATGATGGACCCTTGCTGCCCTGGCTCACAGACAGCATTGATTGGATTCCTTGTGCTTTGCTTGCTTGAACAGCTTCTGCTTTACCTGTTAAATTGTCTTCATCTCAAACCATGGATTGTTCTCACCTTAACTGTTCCAGTTCTCTCCCCCATGCCACTTAAGTGGAATAGCCTAGCTGCTCTTTGGGGTGGAGTAGCTGCCAGGGTTAGACTGCAGCAGTTGGTTTGTGATGTTATTTACTTGGTGGGTTAACTGAAGAGAACTTCTTTTGAATGTATCTGCAACTTAAGTAGTGATTTTTTTTTTTTTTTTTTTTTTTGAAGGTTCAGTAGCAAGAAATGAATTTGAGCTGATGTAAGATAGTCTTACATAGAAACTCATCCAGGCAAGGAGATGCTGTGGATCTGTTCAGTGTAGAATTCAAGCATTTACCACAACTGGTTTAAATTAGCATCTGAAAAAAAAATAACATTTGTGTCTTTGGCTGAGTAACTACAAACATCACTGCTTTTTGGAAGTAAGTGAAAGTAGCATTTCCTCCTAAAGACGTGGGGCTAACCCTGCTGTTGAAGGGAGTCTCAGTGTTCAGTGTCTGAGGCTGTAAGTATAGGCAGCAGTAGATATAGTTGCCTTAAACCAGTTTCAGATCACCCAAGAGAGGAAACAGTCACAATCTGATCATAAAGAAGAAATTTTTTCCCCTTTCTGAGGATCAGGGCTCCCCAAATGCTACAAAGACAGTGATCTGCAAGTAGAGATGCTTCCCTTGCAGCTGCCAGCCCTTAAGTGAGGTCAATGGTCACACAGGTGAATTGCTCACAGCTGTGCTCCCAGGACTGGCTACACCCCTTCACCAGCTGCTCCATCAGGCCATGACCCAACCCTTCCCATACCAAGGTGTAAAGGTCAGCTTGTACATTTGGATATGTCACTTATGACAGATGGTAAGGAATAGCCAGAAACAGGCAGTAATTAGGAACAGGAGAGTTGCAAAGAGCCTTAAAATGCCCTAGCTTTGCAGTGTTAGTGAGAGAGAAGCATGGACTGACCTGCCAGAGAACTGGTAAGGGTATCACCTTCTCAGTCTTGTCTGGAATCATGCTGTATGTGGGTCGTGCTCAGCACATAAGTTTACACCTTCAGCAGTCTGTTGTCTGTTAGGGTTAGAAACAGGAAATGGTTTAATGTTCAGTGTGCAAATCATAATTGGAAATCTAGCTAGTGCCTGAAATGATAATATTTCTAGCACGTTGTCTGTGTTTATATGATCAGGAAGGTGTTTTTTTTCCTGATAAGGCATGATCTTGAAAATAATGTGCTTCTGGGGTGGTGCATCTGAATTTTGCACAATTCCAGTCATGAAGTGCAGTTTCTTGGCAGCACAAGAAACTGTCCTAGCTGATCCCTCGGAACCTTGTTGAGCAGATCACAACTCTGCTGCTCCGGGGCTGGAGAGCTGCTGATTGAGGAGCTGCGTGGGAAGCCCAGCACAGCCATGTCCAGGTGTGGGTCGGGCTGCGGGACCTGCAGGCTGGCAGGTGCATGCCAACATCATCTATTCTCTTAGCTCTCAAAGCAGAATCATAGTTATCTAAGAACCTTGACGAGTGTTTGCACCGCTTATTATTTAGGCATAGGTAAACATCGTGCATTTTTTGCGGTAAAACGTTCCAGCGCTTTATTATCCTTGCTGATTAAAAAGCGCTTTGTTAGCAAAGCTGCTGTCTCTCTTGCAGCGTTGGGACTGCCGCGCTTTTGTTGTTGTAACAAATCACGAGAGGCGTCGGAGTTCTGCCCCCCGGTGCGTACAAGCGTAGCACCGCTTCGGCTGCTGCCCGCGGCGTTGAGGCCGTGACGCGGCCCGTCCCGCCGCTGCGCCCAGCCGCTCACCGAGGGCCATCCGGGGCTCCGCCCACATCGCGAGGCCGCGCCTCCCCGCGCCGCGGGGCCGAGTCCGAGCCGCGCGCCTTCGTCGGCGTCGCCGATCGGCTGCGGTGCGCGCGGTCGGCCGGGCAGCGGCGCGGAGGGGAGCGAGAGAGGGGCTCGGCGGCACCCGGAGCGTGGCGGGCGGAGGAGGCGCGGCCCCGCGGGTGGCGGTGAGCGGCGGGGGGGCGGCGGCGAGGAGCCCGGCGGGAAGCGGGCGCGTATCGCGGGCTGCGCGGTGCGGGGCCCGGGCCGAGCCGCAGCGGCGCGGTGTGCGGCACGTGTCCCGGCGGTGCGCTCCGAGCGGCGCCGCGGCTCGGCCGGGGCTGTGCCGCTGCACGTCGGCCTTTGCGGCGGTGACCGTCCTGCCTGCCTAGCGCTGCCAAGGGAACGATGCGCGAAGATGCCGGGCTGCGATGGGGGGGATGTCCGAGTAATTCTGTAATAGATACTGGACGTTTCGGGCTCACCGCGGCTGACCTGTGCCCCGCGGTCCAATGGCCAGAGCTCCCGGCTGGGTTCGGGCGGTGCGGGATGGATGTGGGAGAGGGTGAGCGCCTGAGAGCCTTGCCATGAGGAAATTGCCTTGCGGATGTGTTACGGTCGGGTTATCGTCTTGTGAACCGCATCGAGGGCGCTTTTTGCAGCCTCAGCTGTATCTCATCTCGCTGTAAGTCAGCTGCTCCCCGTGTCAGGCCTTTTGGGGGGGCAGGGGGGGGACGGCGGATCCAGTTCTGCAACAGCTGTGATTTTGTACCTGTTTCAGATACAAATTGAGATTGCCTTCCTTTCTTAACCAAATGGAAACAGCTTGTGGAAAAAGGCCGTTGAATGCATGAATACCATATTGTCCATTGTTTACTTAAAGAAATCAAAGCTATTGCATCTTAAAATTTGCCTGTATTTGCCACGTGCCAGAAAAACCACTGAAAAGATGACTCAAGTTATGTGAGTCTCCTCGCATGGGATGTGTTTGCTTAGTGTTGTTTTCCAATACCATTTGATCTGTTCTTGTGAATTGCGTGTTGTCAGTCTGCATCTTTTTGCTCCTACAAGTGCTTCAGTGTTTTTCAGGCAACATGCTGAAAGTGCATGGAGAATGGAAGCATCTTATTGCTTCCAAAAGAAACAGTAATAGAAAAGGGTTGGATTTTATAGCTCCTGTCAGGAGCGCACCTAGAACTGTATGCAGGAAGGTGTGAAATTATAGGTAGGCAGTGCCAAAATGCCACATTGGGCTCTGCAGCTTCAAGGCCACTGGCACACAGCATGGATAATTGCTACTCTGGCCTCTCACCTGTGGAAGGATGAATGTGCTTGAACATTGATGGAACAGACTGATTTTTGAAGAGGCCAAAAGCGCCCAACCTGATCAGTCAAATTCCTGCTCTTTAAGAGCAGGAGAGATTGGTGTAGGTTGAAGCAAACCAACTGAAGTATATCTCTGTCCTCTGTTTCTGTATTTCATGATCTGTTATATCAAACCACAGTCCTTCTTCCTGAAATGATGGCTGTGGGCCAGGAAGACAGGGAAGATGGTGTTTTCTTTGCCAGATGGTATTTGTGCAAAAATAACAGTATTCTGGGGGGTTTTCCAAAGGATTTAAAGTGTGTAAAACAGCGTTGTCTTAAGCAGTTTCTGTGTCCTTGAATTACCTTGTTTATCTTTCCTTACGCAAAAAGACTCCACTGTACCTTTCCCCTCTCTCCAGGAGCAAGATGCTGGAAATTCAGCAGAAGGTCAGGTGAGAACTTTCCAAGGCTGTCTTGCCCTCCTGGCACACCTTTGGCAGGTGGCAGAGGAGGTTGCCTCTTGCTGTCCAGTGGGTGTGTGTATCTGCAGCAGAAGGAACACCTTCAGAGTGGGGTTTTTGAATTCCAAGGACGTGGCACTGGCTGGTTTGCAGTTACGGACTGGTACTCAGCAGGACTGAGGGCAGATCTCAAACAGTAGGGCTGCCATAGGATTCAGATGCCTAAGCTTTTTTATAGACTTTATTTTTTGTATGATGGAAGACTGCAGTGATTGTAAGCGTATGTCTGTTATGTATGATGAGTGGGATGATGAAGCAATGAGTAGAACAGTTCTGTTTGCTTCCTTGGTGAGTTTCTCATCCAGATTTTATAACTGAAACGTAGCTTGGCACTGGCAGGGAACAGAGCTCTTTGAGGTGTGTTCATCTCCTTACGACTCATGTGAAACT